GATTAGTACTTCATATCATACATATATAGCAGAAATAATACGTTTATTTTAAAAGTATGATTGTTAATAACTTTTTAACGAAGGACGAGCGACGGCTAAAACCTGTTGGAGGTTACTCAGGGTCATGACCTTGACAACATATGTCAAGGTCAAAGTCATTGGAGGGGGGTCCCTTAATAGAAACATTTACCCATTCATCATATTAAAGCATTGTTTCATTAGTCAATAAAGTCTGTACATTAACTCAGTAATCGAATTTATTAAATATTATATCCTGGCGTTCCTCCTTAAAACATTTCCTTTAATACATATAACGAATTCATGAGCTAATGTACAGACTTTATTAACTAATAAAAAAATGCGTTAATATAATGAATGAAATGAATGTATTTTATTACTTCTATAAAATTTTATAATATACGTTTAATGAGAATGAATTTATTGAATCTATGAACACGTTTATTTTTCTAATAAACATGTTCATAAATTCAATAAATTCATTCATTAAACGAATATTATAAAATTTTATAGAAGTAATAAAATACATTCATCATATTAATGCATTGTTTCATTAGACAATAAAGTCTGTACATTAACTCAGTAATCGAATTTATTAAATATTATATCCTGGCGTTCACCCTTAAACATTTCCTTTAATACATATAATGAATTCGATTATTGAGCTAATGTACAGACTGTATTGACTAATGAAACAATGCATTAATATGATGAATGTATTTTATTACTTTTATAAAATTTTATAATAGACATCTAATGAATGAATTTATTAAGTCTATGAACATATTTGTTAGAAGAATGAACTTTTTCATTGATTTAATTAAATGTTCCATTAAGTTATGATATATTCAAGTACATCATATTAATAAACAGTAACTTGTTGTATTAATAAATTCAGTTGTTAGCTAATGAAAAATACTCAATACAATATTCATAATATCTATTAAAAGTTCATTATATCAATGAATTTCAAGTCAATAAACATCATTTATTGATATTACGAACAAGATTTTTTTCAGATTATACAGGCTATTTTAGATTTGCCAACCATGGCGAAAGAAAATGTCGCTGAATTGCGTCAGATCACGGATGGTGCTACTCGACATATTCACGCCCTTCAGGCGTTAAAACGCCCCACAGCGCAGTGGGACGATTTACTTGTTTATATTTTAAGCAATAAGCTCGACGCGCTCACATCGTGAGAGTGGCAATTGTCATTGGTAGGCCCCGCTCTGCCTACACTCAAACAATTTACGGATTTTGTTGCTCATCGGTGTATAACTCTTGAGACAAGCAGTAGATCCAAGAATGTAAACACGCGGTCGCAGTCGCAATCGAGCGCGAAGCAGCAATCTTGTGTTGCCTCTATAAAAATAAAATGCTCCTTTTGTAAGGGCGAGCATCTCATCTATCATTGCGAAAAGCTCATAGCATTACCCGTTCCGCAAAGGATTGCGGAAATCAAAAAGCGCAAAATTTGTATTAACTGTTTACGATCGGTGGATCATACATCAAATAAATGCCCTTCTGGCAATTGCAAAATTTGCAAGGCCAAGCATAACACGTTGCTTCACCTTGCTGCTGCCACGTCGGTCAAGTCCGACATCTCCGAATCAGTTGATCGTGGATCAGTAGACGCGCCGGCTCTAGCCACCTCTTCTGCTCCCGTTGTTATGAGCGGTCTCGCGACTCCGGATCGCAGCGACGTCATGCTCTCGACCGTTCTCGCTTATGTTTACGACGCAAACGGTTGTCGCAGAGCATGCCGTGTCTTATTAGATTCGGGCTCTCAGATTAACTTTATCTCGCGGCACCTCGCAGACGCTCTCGATATTAAAACACGTTCCTCGGACATTTCAATTTCGGGAATAAACAATGTTACCACGCGAGCTTTCCAAGCGGCTGAAATACGGCTGCACTCGCGCACGAATTCATTCAGCATTCTAGTCGATTGCATTGTTACCGAACATGTAACCGGCAAACTTCCGGCTTTCACGCTTAAAAGAAATGCCTTCGAAATACCGGCTAATCTCGAATTAGCCGATCCGCAGTTCCACGTCTCGTCTGAGATAGACGTTTTAATCGGCGCGGAACATTTTTGGAGCTTGCTCTGTATCGGTCAAATCAAGGCAACGCCCTCACATCCTACCTTACAGAAGACACGCTTCGGGTGGATATTGGCGGGTCGATTGCACACTGCACCGAAAGCAGCTTCACATGTGCACTCTCTTCATGCTTCAATAAGCAACAAGCAGTTGCACGAGCAATTATCTCGTTTTTGGGACGTAGAGAATCTCGGCAGTTTCCAATCATTATACCTCAGAGGAAGCTCAGTGTGAGCGACATTTTCTAGAAAACATGACTCGAACCGATCAAGGCAAATTCATTGTCAAACTTCCCTTTAAAGAGTCTGATTAAAGAGTTCCGAGCCTGACGCTTTCGTTAAATCTAGGGAGATCGCCTTAAAACGCCTCGGTGGCATTGAAAGGCGTCTTAGCCGCGACTCGGAATTAAAAACGCGATATTCGCAATTCATAAATGAATACAATACACTAGGTCATATGAAATTAATTTCCGACCCCCCCGAGGATCCAAAGTCCTTCTACTTACCGCATCATTGCATCGTTAAGGCGCCCGCCGCCAATAAATTTCGCGTTGTCTTCGACGTCTCCGCCAAGGACGCGGCTGGCATATCATTGAACGACACGCTTATGGTCGGTCCTACCGTACAGCAAGATCTATTTACTATACTGTTGCGATTTCGTATACATCGTTTCGCATTTTCGGCCGATATCGTTAAAATGTATCGCCAAATTCCAGTGCATCCGTCACAAACACGCTATCAGCGCATTCTTTGGCGAGATGATTTCACTTCTACAGTGGCAACATACGAGCTTTCCACCGTAACATACGGTACCTCTTCCGCGTCGTTTTTGGCCACGCGATGCCTCACATGGTTATCCGAGCATTACGCTGGCGATTGGCCTAATGGCTCCAAGTGTGTCGAGTGCGACTTCTATGTTGACGACATGCTCACGGGAGCCGACACGATAGACGAGGCATTAATAATACGCGACGAAGCAATTAAGGTATTACGTTGTGGTGGCTTCGAGCTTGGAAAATGGGCATCCAGCGCTCCCGAATTATTGACGGGAATCAAGGATCAAAATAACGCACCGGTTGCAATCCCCAATAACTCGGAATCGTCCATCTTGGGCATTCATTGGATGCACTCTAGCGATGCATTCAGTTTCTCTTATAACCCCGGGGACAACTCCGCGATAATTTCCAAGCGAGCCATCTTGTCCGATACTTCCAAACTTTATGATCCCCTCGGTCTAGTAGGTCCAGTCGTCGTGCGGGCAAAGCTAATTTTACAAGAGCTTTAGCAGCTGGGTATCGACTGGGACGAATCAGTTCCGCAAGAGCTTTACGCGCGGTGGTCAGAGCTCAAAACACAAATGATTGATATTAATCGACTAAGCATTCCGCGATGTTATCAAGCATGTCGCATCCCCCGATTCCAGTCAAATACACGGCTTTTGCGATGCAAGCCAACGGGCCTATGGAGCTTGTGTATATATCCGGTCGAAACTCGGGGAAAATACGTATTAAATCGAGCTACTATGCTCAAAATCTCGCGTAGCCCCCCTCAAAGCGCTATCACTTCCGCGCCTTGAGCTTTCGGCGGCGCTACTATTAACCAGGGTTAATTCAGAAAATTCGGTCGACATTCGATTTAACCGGCATCCGAACATATTGTTGGTCGGATTCTACCGATTGTTCTCAACTGGATATCCTCCCCGTCGCGAAGATGGTCAGTTTTCGTCGCTCATAGGGTGGGAGAAATTCAAAACTATACCAATCCCGACGATTGGCATCATGTAAAATCGACCGACAATCCAGCGGATTTCCTGTCACGCGGTCTCGACCCACAGGAACTAATAAGCTCTCGTATGTGGTGGCATGGGCCTAGCTACCTACAGCATAACTCTAGCTTTTGGCCC